TTTTTTGTTTTTTTTAGATAGTTGCAGATTTATTTAGGTTTTGGGAAGAATGCTCAGTTCAAAATGTTTAGTTGTTTTCATCAACTCACAGAAAAACAGATTTATAGCTGTAAGCTTCACACTAAAACAGAGACAATGTTACTGTTTTGTTTTCCCAGCTTTAGCTCACACATTGAGGGAGGATTCTCTGACTTCCCAGCCTGACCAGAATGAGGAGCTCATGAAAGCAGCTACAGAAAAAGCAGCACAACCCTCCTGGCGTCTTAAGTGGAATGATTAAAGGCATCTTGTCCTTTAAAAGAGAATAAAAATTTAAAACACCATCTCCCCCTGATTTTATTTTTTCTAAAAGAATCCAATTGAATGACCTCATTAGGGTTGATTGAGTGAGAGAAACAAATTCAACCGATCTGATAAATACGTCAGAATGTTTTTAAGATGGTTTTGAAATGTTATACAGAAATTATTTTTATGTATAAAATCAAGTAAAAACATCAGTAATTTGCTGGATCTATTATCTGGATCTATTCTGTAAAAGAGTATGACACCAAACAGCTAATAAATCTGCTACAAAGGAATAATAAAATATTTGAAGAAGTATGAGATTCCCCCTGGTATTCTGTTTAGAAAATGAATAATAAAAACAGCTGGTTTACATTATCAGTGATACTGAACCTGAATATTTTGTTTTTGGTAAATCCAATAATGGATTCAGACGAAAAGATAAACTTTTCTGTTTTATTATCATCATCATGTGTATTTGTTTTTAATGCATTTCTTAGAGGTAAATATTTTGTCATCACGTTTTATATCTTTCAGAATATGAGAATGCTCAGAATCAGCTTCTTTGACTTCCAATAAATGTAAGATGGATTTCCCGTTAATACTGTTATTGGATTCTTTTTCACTGATTTGTTCGTTTCAACTTATATTTATGCACAAAAATGCATCAATTAAAACCTATGAAATTGAATGATAAACAATAACAAACTCTTTACTAAACAACTGAGGTAAAAGAGGCTTTGGCTTTTATTTGGGGATATCTGATTAATCGAGGCTGAATACAAGTGCATGCTAAACACACATCTATATTCAATGATGAAAAGCAGTTATTTAACTGCTCAATTAAAAACTGTTTTATGCTGTTTTATCTGTAGAAACCCAATAAGACACCTGATGTTTATTTGGTTCCTGATATAAAGCCAGACGTTCTTGTTTATTTTAATAACTGACATAAATGTCATAAAGCTCAAAACAATGTTAAAGGCTAATTTATGGTTGATTGATCCACTACATGTTAGAATTTTTTGGTCAAACTGTAGGGATCTCTCCCCTGAAGGTGATCAAACCTGACTATAGCTCTATAATATCAGAGTGATTTGACTTTTTCTGACTAAAACATCAAAACAATTTTCTGTAAAATGCATTTTTCTTAGCATGTTATGAAAATGATGCAACATGAGGTACATCTCCACCTGCTGCCTCTCTAATGGGGACTGCTGGCGTTTTTTTCTCAGTAGCTTGTGATTTTTTTTTTATGCCGAGGCTTTAGAGTAACACAATGTGCTTTTTTTTCTGTAAAACAAGCAGGTAGGGGACTGTTTTCTGACTGCTTTTTTGTTTGATCTTGCTAACATGGAAATCTGGCCCTTCAGTAGGAGATGAAAATCCCAATGTGAGAGTTATGCTGGCAATCACACCTGGATTAAATAACACCACCTAGAAGTTATTTCCAGATTTGACAGAAAAACTGATTCCCTGCTGCTGGACAATGGTTAACTTGTTTTATCGCTGTAAAAAGAAATTTGTTTTGATAAAAGTACCACTTGATAGCCTACTCAGACCATCCTGAACCACTTGATTGTTCTGGTGACGTTTTGCAGACTTTTAACTAGTGTTGCACCGATACTGATACCAGTGTAAGGGGGCCCCGATCCAGCACTAAAATGGTGGTATTGGCATCGTCAAGTACCAACAAATAGGGCACTGATACCATTTTGAGAGCCAAAAATGTATTTCACTATTGTCACCCATTCCAGGTATAAAAAGTTCTACTGGAATCACTTTGTATTAGTCTTTTTCCTGCTCCACAAAGGTAGGCAGCAGCTTGACAAAGCCATGATGACCATTATTTTACATCCAAGTAGTATGCAGTTCTTCATATACACACACACATCAATTTCAAACAGATGGAATCGGTATCGGCCGATACTGCACAGCCAGGTTTCGGTTATCGATATCGGGGCCAAAAAATGGCAGCGGTGCAACACTAGTTTTAATTCTGCTTGTTTCCTGGTGCTGTTTTATTCACTTTCTGTTCCCTCTATGTCACTGTCTCTTTAGGCTTCATGAGTTTCTTTTTTCTACAGTATTATAATAACTCTTACACTTTCCCAAAGTTTGCATTTTTCTTGCTAAAATGGGACAATTTTCTACATGATGGAAAAGCACATATTCTGAAGCTGATGCAAATATTGCTCATAATTATTTTCTGGCATACTGTATTACAAAAAAATAACAAAGCTCACATTAAATGTTTGTTTTATGGATGAAGGATTAATGTATTCTCTAAAAATGCAATAAAGAGGGAAAATGTCATTTTATAGCAAGTGGAATTTATACTTTTAAAAGCTGTCGGTTGATTTTAACTATGAAAATGATTAAAGTCTTTATGAAGGAATGGATATTTGGTCCCTGTTTATTTATAGATGTGATTTTTATTTTTATTTATTTACAACACAAAAACCATAAATAAATCAAAATTGATTTTCTCTTCATTGAAGGGTATGAATAAAGTAGTGAACCTCCAGATGTCGGGAATCAATCACTATTTTAGGGAAACAGCACCTGTGACGTCTTTAAACTTCTGTCCCAGTTTCAATCTACAGGCCAATTACAGTCAACTGGTGGTTTTACAGGTGAAACTTTCATTCTCTTAATGGGCCAATTTATACTGAAGGTTCTGGCTTTGCAGCATTCAGAGGAATTCTCTATAGATCTTCATCATTAGTGTATGAGAGCAGCAAGGTTAATTCCCAGTTTTTCTTAAATATTTCTTTTACAAAAAAAAAAATGGGAAGATTAATGAATAAATCTGATTAATTTCACATGCTGTTTGGTTTAATGGATGAACAAGAGGAGTTAGTTATCATCACAGTTTGTTTGAAAAGATCTTTATAAGACAAGGGAAAAAAGAATAACAATTTTTAGGAAAGTAAAGACACAAATACTGTTTTGTTTTCCGTAATGCGGTAAACTTCACATATTCTGTTGTGAACAAGTGGATGAAAATGGATTTGATTTGATGATGTGAAGCCGTCACCATTGGCATGACAGTCAGCCATCTGTGACATACTTACATTTTTCTCCATTCTTCTACATATAATGAGTCAGACTGAGTTATCAAGGCAGCTGTGTCAGATCTGCCTAAATTTCATAGCTCATATAAATTAACCAGACAAAAAACAAAAATGTACCGGTAATTAAAAATTGGCCCATGACTACAAATATATTCAAAGCTTGGATGGCGCCGTCCCTTTGTGCACTTCACAGATCTTTAGTTTAAATCTCAGCATGATGCTTTCTGACATTTATATCCAAGCAGGTAGGCTGCCGACCCCTCAGACCCTAAACAGAACTGAGAGGGTGAAGAAAATGACTGGATGGACATGCCCTCAATAATGGCCTAGTTGATTATCATACATTTTTCTTCTGTGGTAAAGATGTTTTTGGCTATTTTATGTATAATTTTACATAAAATGCACTTCTAATCTAAAACTGATGTTATATACAACTGAAGTGTTAAGAATGCTTAGGTTTGCCTGTCAAACTGTTGGAAATACAGGATGTTTCAATGACTGAATCAATTAATTCCTTTGAATTTCTTTACATTTCAGAAAACTATATTAAGAGGATTTGGTCTCAGTTTATGGTACTTAATAATATCTGTAATTCTTGGGAAAATTTTAGTTTCTCACGTCACCCTAATGCATAACTGGACGACTTTTTGTATTGAGCAATCAGGGGGAACTTTTTTATTCATCATCATCATCATCATCATCAATCATCATCATCATATCTTGTCGCTCCAAATCCAATGACAGGCTGGCCTCCTGAAGATCCTTGTTACAGTACGTTGGGCCAAGTTTGCATTTATGCAAAAGGTAACGGTCAATAAAATCCCACTCATAGGTTTCTAAACTTCTTAATATAAGCAAAAAAAATACTTAAAGAAAAAAAATATTTTATTGTCCAATGATTCTCATATGTGATTTGGGATTTTTCATCTGTGATGGCACAAGTTTAAATTTTAGATTCTTACTCATAAATTGATGATTTGTACTTGTTTTTGTTTTTGTAACTTTTATTCGCGCAGATACAAAATCCGATGCGCCATATGAATGATTTGACGACAAATAACAAATACAAATCTTACATCTATTCGTGTTTATTGACCTAGATTTATCAATTCAGACATTTATGTTTTTACTTACAGTGATTTTACCCCATTCCTGACTTTCTGTAAATTTCTCAAGCTTACAGACTGATTCTGCTTATTTACTTTATATTGTCAAAGGAAGAAGACAACAATTAACTAACTTAAGTACAGAATGTGTTTGCTTGACACTCAAACTTTTCCCTTTATGATTATTACATAAAAATCATTTGATACACCTTGAGATCATTATAGCATAAAACAAGAAAATCTGAATTATAAGCAAATGATATACAGTATTAGAGACATTAAATTACAACTGGTGACATTGATAAAACTATCATCATTTTCTTTTAGTATGTTACATTCTTGACTTTTAAGAGTAGGCTCATTCTTAATCAAGGCGAGTATGAATTTGACAAATATTTTTGCTATGGGGTTATAAAAAAAACTCAAATATGAAAGTAAATTAAAAACAACTTAGGGGTAAACACAACAATAGTTAGAGGACTCAATTAGAACTAATTTTAAATTGAATAATTCTGGTTTCTATTGGTCTTTGAAGTAAGTTTGATCCCCCTTTATTACACTCACAGGAAGAAGGATAGAAACACATTTTACATTGAAACTCTGGAAGGTTTCCGCAACAGTAAAGTAGCTGTTAGAGGCTAAGTTGATTGTTCATCTGTACTGTTAAATGTTTTATGTCCTTCTTATTTTGCTTTACTTCTTGTTACACCATATATTTCAGCAGCTTCTAATATCTTTATTAACCATTTTCAATCTTGGATGCCAAGGTCCTATAAAAACTGATTTCTTTTGCTTTGTAACATGGGTTATCTATAGCAAAAAGCTCCATAGAGGTGAGTTGTTTTGCTTGGGAATCCAAAGGAGCGGACCCCTGCCTCTGGGATGCCTCCACAGTGTTTCCTGGGGTTGATGATGGGAAATCGTACGCTGCCGTCTCTCAGCCAGCCACCATTACATTGGTCATATTTTTGGAAACGCCAGGCAGCATAAAGCTGGCCGACCAAAGCCAACTCTGATCTCTGACGCTTGCAGGCCAGCACTGCCTGGTCATAGGAGAAGGATCCTGATATGTAGTAGACGGAGCCTTTGTCACCAAGACAGAGACACAAAAACATATTAAAAATTCACAAAATGAGATGTTGGGATTAAAAGTTTAAGATTTGACATTTTGTGTTGACTGTTTGGAATCTTTCCATACTGAATGTTTCTAACTAGTGAACTCTTTGCTCATTTATTTACTGCTTATGACTATTTTCAGCTAAAATTTGAATTTGATAAATGATCAATTAAAAGGATTGAAGGAGTCTGATGTTGTGATACAAGTTATCATACTTTTAATTAAGAATACATACAGCTCTTTCTTATCTTCCTTATCTGATGATTACCTGTGCAGCACAGTTATCAATATGCCTTATTCAATTCATATTTTATCTCACAGACCAACACAAAATGGCTTACTGCAGAAAAATTTGAAAAAGGATAAATAATTTAAATTTTCCTGGAAATAACTCATCGGAGAAACATTGTTGGCATATATTATGACAATCCCAAATAAATCCAGCAACAAAACAAAACGGGGGCATATATGGGACACTTTCCATTCTTTTTGCAATTGTCTTCTCCTTGGTCTTGTTCTGTGGTAATAAGTATTGGCTATATAAAAATGAACATACCTTGCATAAGTCTGACATTTCTGTAAAATAATTGTTAAGTGATCTTATATAAAGTTTAACTTTGGGAGATTCTGAATTAAACTCTATGTTACCAAAAAACATTAAACATTTCATAAGAGACAGCAGGACAGGTTGGAAACCCTCCTCTCTGACCCGTTATGGTCAAACGCGTTGAGTGGTCGTCTTCCTGTTCCAGTCGATGCTTCTGGATGTAACGTCTTCGGGCGTTAGCTTTTTGCTTTGATTTTTTTTTAGGACTTGCCTTATTCTATTATTGTGGCCATTTTTGGTTTGCCATCTTAATTTTGTTTGCCTTTTTTGTTGGGATAATCCTCTTTCGTAATTCTTGTTTTAAAAAAAATCATTAATAATAATCTAACTTTACTGATCTCACATTGGAGAAATTTACCTCTATATTTAACCCATCCCCTTGGGGAGCAGTGGGCTGCCATTGTGGGGCGTCCAGGGACCAATCAGGAGTTAAGGGTCTTACTCAGAGACCTAGAGTGGCAGTCTGTGTGAGTGGATTTTGAACTCCCCAGGATTTCAAGCTCTATGCCCTAACCAATAGGCCGCCACTACCCTCTTTGGCTTTCCTTATAGGTTATGTTGGTATATTTGAAAAGGTTTTCTTAGTTTTTCCCATTTGTTTATCCCAAGCTAACCATCTTTCTCTCAGATAGCAGATTCCTTTTATGTGTGTCTCATCATTGGTTGTTTGAACCTACGGTTTGCTGTCGGTTTTCCTCGGATCCTAAGTACATCTTCCTGTCTCTTTTCATGTAGAATTATCATCATTGAACTCATTGAACATCTTTGAACTGCATGGAACTCTCAAAAGGATTTAAGAGTCAGTCAGTATTTAAGGTTGAATGATGTTGGTTATGTTGGGGTTTTTCTTTTTAGTATTAGCCTGGATGTTTAAACAGAACTTTTTTTTTTATTTTCTCACACAATAATTGTTATGCGAGTTATTAGATTATCCATCCAGATTTAGGACAGGGTGGATAAAAGCCAAGTTCCTTTCATACTTTACTCTCCCACTTACCCGATATCTGAGATGTAAAGCAGAAAGCATCGAACCGATCATCGTCCTTATTTTTCGGCCCATAACTGCGAATGCCAGCTGGCAACTCTCCTCCACAGACCGGTCGTGGATGAACGATTGGATAATGAACTGTTCCATCATGAATCCAACCTGCATTGCACCAGTCCAACCCTGCAGTCCAAGCTGCAAGATGAAGTAGGTTAATGTGAGGGGGCCAAACAGCACAAGCAATGTTACATATAAGAAGTACAGGTTTGGACTAATAGTCATACCTTTGTAAAGCTGATTGTAGGTGGCTAATTTACCATCTTGCTCAGCACAAGCCTGCTTGGCTTCATGGAAGTTGAATTTGTAACGTCCATGCTTACTTTGATATGGGAAGACCACACCTAAAAACAAAGGCAGCTTTTATCCCTAAGCCCTCATAAAACTCTGCCCCCATGCAGGTATAAACACAACTCTAGTAGAAATAGCTTATCAACTAAATTTAAGAGATCTGAAACCCCTTTTGATGCACTTAAGGTACTGCCTTAAAAATGTACCATCAAAGACCTACATGAAGATTTTTTTATTTAAATGAGTTTCTAGTTACCTTCAATCCTCAGAGTAATGAGAATGTTCTCATCTTCGATGCCATTTATCAGCTCACACCGATACCTGCCATCATCTCCCAGCTCAAGATGCCTAAGCATCAGGGAGGCGTCCATGGTGTGAGCCCTCTGGAGAGAAGCCCGCTGTCCCACCAGGCCGTAGGGCTTAAAAGCATTTGCATTCGATATCATTATGATATTTTGACGCCCGTTGTTCTCAGACTCCAGCTTTGTCCATTTAATCTTGTAGTGGTTAGGTTGGACTCTGAGGATGCAAGGCAAGGTGACATTATCTCCCCTTCGGCCGGCCACCTCGACCTGCACAGGTGGCTCAAGGAGATACTGAAGCTTCTTTAGTGTTCCTGGTTCTGTATGTAAAACAACATATCATATCAAACAAGTCATCTATGTAGAAAAAGGTATTTTTGTGTAAAACTGATAAAAAGCAATTTCATGTGATATGGTATATCTAGCAAGACACCAACCTGTGTTAGCTGTATGGTCAAAGATGCAACTTTTTATTTTTTTTTTCTTATATATTACCCTACTCCCAGCTTTATTTTTGTTCTCTATTAGCCCATGCTTGAAGAAGAGAAGGAATTGTTGCTAAGTCAACGACTTAAAGGAGACACATCATGCTTTCAAAATCATCCCTTTTTGTATTTATGTCATTCAGTTTTGGTCTATATCTAGTGAAACTGCAATGCTTTGATCTGATGTGTCATAGTCTTTTTGGCTAGGTGTCTATTTAATTGATTTTCTAAGGTATTCTTAGGTGTTTTCTCTGGTTTTGGTGATGTCTCTTTAAATGCCAATGAGGCACTTCACACCCAGCCCTCCTTCTATATCCTCCGTTTAGCCACATCTGTAGTTTGACAGAAATTAGTTCAAGATGCATAATGGCCATGTCATGATCTGGCCTGTTTGCTCTCCCTTAATTAGTAATTCCTTTCACCTGCCCTCTTCCCTCCCTGCCTCATTATAATTAATTCCTCTCACCTGTTTCCTCTGGTTTATATTCAGTTCAGCCTGAGCATTCAGTGCCAGATCATTGCTTGTCTTTCTGTCAGTCTTTCTGTTCAGTTTTTATTTGGTTCATGTCCTGGATCCTGGCAGCCAGTGGAAAGAGGGTTTTAGTGTTTGTCTCGTCTCCTGATCGTCCACTGTTCCTCCCCTGCGGAGTCCTCTGGGTTTTTGGCTCATTATGGGGGGGGGTTCAGTTTTTATCTAAGTAAGCCTGGCTCCTGGGTGGAGACCAGTTTAAAGTCTGCTTCAAGTTCCGGTTCCACGTCCTGTCTCGGCTACCCTCTTCCACTGAGCCTGCCTGTCTGCACCTGATCCTGTCTGCTCCTGTGCGTGACCACCTGGTCATGCTTCTGGTCCCAGTAAGACTCTGAACCCTCCTGGAAGTCTGTGGATGCCTGGAAGTCTGGATCCTGCCACCTGTCTCTGTTCCTGCCTGATCTGGATCCTGCCTGTTTCTGTCTGTTCCTGTCTGTTCTGGATCCCTGACCAGGATCAGCTTCCACCATCACCTCTGGGACTGCAGTACTGGGACACTTGTGGTCTGGACTGTTAAACCAGGTAAGTGACCAACACAGTTAATCTTCTATTGGTTGATCGTGGTCACTTACCTGTGTTTCCTCCCTAGAGTGTCTGAGATTGGGCGGTGCCCCGCCCCCCCTGCCTGCAGTGTCCGCGAGCCACAGCTCCGCTTTTGTTTTGTTTTTATTTTAATAAACCTTTTGAACTTTCCTACTGACTGTCTCTCCTGAATACTGGGTCCATCTGTCCTCGGTTCATGAAAGGCCATCCACTAAGATATATGTTATATTGGTTGTTCCATCTCGGATGAAATATATACATATATCTTTTTTTCCTAGATATTATTGATTATTATTTTCTATTACTATCTACTAGTAGTTAAATTAGATTGCTAATATGTTTGTACTATGATAATGGCTAAAATGAAGGTTTTGCTGTTACAATACACATTTAAAATCAGAAATATCCAAAATCAGGCTGATGGGATCAATAATATAATGCTTAATGTTTCTACATTACTGTATTGACTATGACAAGAGCATTATTTGACTTAAAATGACGATTACATGAATGAAAAACAATTAATAATGAATTACATAATTGATTCTGGTTATGATGACATAAAGTAGCATTTGTACCTGTTCTGTGAGGGTTATATGAGGCAGAAGTACAGGACAAGTAACTTAATGTTATAAAAGTAATCCTGACAAAGTTCCCTTTGAAGGAGGTCATTTCTCTCAGCTCCTGTAGTGCAAAAGAAAGCATGTTAAGTTAATTCAGATTTCACTAAACACAACTGCTAGTGACAAAAGTTAATAACAGAAACAGCTGTAAATAAAACATTCCTTATTTTCCACCATTAATAATCTCAAAATCTATTGTATTTTAGATAAATGACAAACCTGAATAACTGGTGTCCAATTTCCCGGTCAGCCCCCCGTACTGTCCGACATGACTGCAAGGTCTTCTTGGTGTCCAATAAAGGATATTGTGAATAATTCTCAAACTAATTCATGTCTGTCCTTTATTTCTGTTGGCTCTTTGGTCAGAATGCTGAATGTTCAACTGTCTCAGTTCCACCCCCCCACTTTCCTCTATCTGGTCATAAGGTCCTCTCTGTCATTAACAATGTGTAAACAGGACGGCTGTCCTCTCTGCTCCAGATGTTAATGACCCAATGACGATCTGACAGTCACACGCTTTCTTTCTGTTTTCCCGTTTTGTGGTATAAACTGTAAAGTGACCACAGTGGAAATAAAAAGCTGATTGCAAAAAGATTAAACTAATGGTAAAAAAAACAAAAGCCAAATCAAACCTTAACAGGGACTGAATCTATGAATGCTTGTGGTTAAAGGCAAACTAGCAACATCACAGTCACCAAAATATCAATGTAAAAATATAATTGTGTTTAAATGTGCATTTTATTGCTACAAGATTTTTTTTTCCATGTTTTCCTGTGTGGATTTTTAAGTGATGTTGTGACTCTGTGTGATATTCTATTCTATTCTATTCTGTTCTATTTTATTGTATTCTATTCTATTCTGTTCTATTCTATTCTATTCTATTCTATTCTGTTTTGTTCTATTCTATCTGAAAATGAGTTTTAATTTACCTATGCATGGCAGAAGTTATATTTACTGGTTGGTTTACAGTTTATCCTCTGGAACAGCCATCATCTTTTACACATCAAACATTTTCCATTGTCATCAGCATTGAAATATATTGTTGACTAAGAAAGAATTAAAACACAGAAAAATAAGTTAGTAGATATAAACACAACATTTATTTTCATGTCATGAGATGAAATGCAATTAATATATCCATATTTCTTCTATTTTTTCTATATTTGTTTGAATTTGCAGAACATAAAGGTTTTCTATGTTATGCTCATTTTCTTCCATTTGGCTTAGGAGCGGATAATGGTTTGGGTTGAACTGATTCCAGGTACCCAGTCAGGGGCTCTTTTTTATGACTTTTTAGAGTAGCTAACTGCACACAACTTCTGGTAATTAATGGCTGAATTTAGCTCACCATTATCAGTCGGTCATGACAAACTAATATCAACTATTAACCCTTGTTTGCCATAAAACAGCTTGATGAAATGTGCCATCACACTGCTCTTTGGCTGCCCTTCGGGAACTAAGCAGTTCTGGTATGAAAGGAGAATACATCCTTGTAACACCATACAGCTAAATATGAAAGTAAGTATAGTGGATTATTGGAAACTCTGTGGGCATGAGATAAGCTCTGGGTTTCCAAGGGTCTGGAGTCACATTCACGTTACTAACAGAGGTAGATAGAAAAGTTGGGTAACTTTATGAAAGCATGTAATTTAATTGGTAAATGGCCTCTACTTGTACGGCACTCTTTTCAAGTCAGGAGAATTGAATTTTGATGGTCAGACTTAATGGTTACTAGTCTGATCTTGATTAATGGGAAAAAAATAATATCCTTGTGGTGGGACCTCATATGTTTTTTTGTTTCTGCCTTTAAATTCTTTAGATTATGGCCTTTAAGGTGGGAGGAGATAATTGATAGAAGTGTAAGGCTGTTATGTGAAGGTAGGTATCCATATTGACTGAAGACCATAGGTTAAGAGCCAATCAAAAACGTCTCATAGTTGTTGCTCATTTAAACTGGTATAAAAATATTACAGCAGTTCAAATTAAAACTGTTATCTTGATTTGTTACTGTTACTTATTGATGATCCAGTTACACTTACAAGCAGGGCTTTACATGTTCACTTCTATCTTCTTTTTTTTAACAGTGTCCTGTCTGGCAATGTGGCAATAAAAAGAATTGTCTTGATGCCAAAAAGAGCCCAACAGATTTTACTTTCACAAGTGGAGCAGTTGGGCTATCACCACAGTGTTCCGCTTGTTTCATGCATATAAATTGATTTATTATAATCATGCAGGGAGTTTTACAGATTATATGGACACTGCAATGTAAGTAGAACAGAAGAGGAAAACAGAAAAAAAGGAGAAAAAATTAAAGAAAGAGGAGATAAAAAGGGAGATAATGATAAACATTTTCAGTTTGCTTCATCACCTGCAAAGAGATGTGAAAAGAACAGCACAACCAACAGACATGGAACGAGACATACAATAAAGTAACACCTAGATACTATCGCTGAAGTAGTATTATTTAATCTGAACACAGGTTCAGTTCTCAATATAACCTTTAGAGAAAAGGATCACTGATATTGAACATCCTTCAAACTCCATGTCTTTAATGAACTTATTAACTCTTGTGTAAATAAGTGCCTAATATATTCATAACAATGATTTTGAATTTGAAAAAAATATTTTAAATACCTTATAGGTATTATCTTTTAATTGGCTTTACTTTGTCAGCTTATCTTTAATCTTTGTGGCCAACTCATCTTAATTTATATAATATCATGCCAAGTGATTTTTTCACATTTGTAACTTCCTCATAAGACTTTGAACAAATCTAAAATAACTCAAATCCGGACCTGGGACTACAAAAACAATGTCAGTCTTAAAGGGGAAAGAAGGTTCTCCTTCATTTCCTTCAGTTGCTAGAATGAAGCCTGCAAGTAGTGTTGCTTAAACATGCCTGAAGCAAAACAATAGAAGTTGGATGGAAAAGGTTATGCAAAACTCAACACAAATTAATTAAAATACATTTTTCCATGATAGGTTCATGCAAATGTGGTTTTTGGATAAAAAAAAATCTTTATGATTGGGGTCAAGTTTAAAAAAATGTGAATTTAGACGCATTTGTTTTGCCCAGACTGGTCTGGGAGTGACAGCTGGAGAAGATGTTTAGTTGGATCTGATTTCCTCTGCCTCTATTCGCCTCGTACAAAAGCACCATTGTGAGGGTCACTGTCTCAGTACAGACAGCAGGCGGTGAACACGCAAACACCGGCCAGTGTGTGTGTGTGTGGGGAAAAAAAGGATGCAGTGATAGGATTCCTCTGTTTTTGCTTGTGTTGCTCATTCATTGTGCTCATCATCAATGGGACTCTTTCTTGTGCTCCAATTAGTATTCGGACAAACACCTCTAGGTGACAGAGGACAACTGTTCCAAGAAATACTCAGAGATATTTAGAACAATTTATGTTGCAATGACAGTTTGACATGCATTTTGCATTAGAGGACCATTTGTACTGAATAGTAATACTGGTCTCAGTGTATAGAGAATTTACAGTTTAGTCTGCATGGATTACATTAGAATGCTCCTAACAACCGTTGCACCATCAGGAGGCTGACACTTAAAGAAACAGCATATTAATGATTGGTGAACATATATTCAAAACATTTCTCAATTATGAGCATCTGAGAGGAACAGAATTAATAATTCCTGTTTTGATGTTGGTTTAGTTGGAACATCAGTCTTTGATTATATCCTAAAGGTGTTTTTTTTTTAAATATTAAAAGTTAGTCAACTTAGATATGATTTATTTCATATAAAATGGTGTTATTACCCACGTTATTTAAAGCTCACAGGCAGCTTCACAATAGAAAAAGAAAAAATGCAAAATAATGATGTTTTATTATTATTGTTTACTTTTTTGCTTTTTATTTTTCTTATTTAAAAAAAAAAAACAAAAAAACATTTTTTAGTGGATAGACTGAAGAAATATTGCCCTCTGCTGTTCACCTATTGGTACACAGAGAAGCCGAAGTAACTTATAATACTTTTTATTTCCCAATTATTCAAATACTGATTATTTTAGGTCACCTGCTGGTGAATTTCTACGATTTATCTGAAGAAAGTCTCCAGTCGTCTTTAAAAACGAGAGAACTTGTGATCTCTGGGATGTTTCTGTTGAATTCTTCTCCTTGTGCAGCTGGTTTTATTTTCGTTAACTTCCTGCAGCTACTGATGGTTTACAGTGATCTATTATAGCCTGCAGGAAAACACTCGCTCTGACTTTGTGACACAACGTTTAAGTTTGATTGATGAAAATGTTGTTTTTCCGAAAGTCACTTTGATGTAGATGGCTTCTACTGTGAGACTACAATCACATTTTTCTTAAACTCGAATTGCAGTTACAGATATATAATAATTAAAATACTAGATATATTACAATTATATAATCATATAGGTAAAAGTTTACTGTGATCTTCCCAACTTTGTCTGCAAGCCATTAAAAGGTGCTGGAGACATGAATTTGTCCTAATTTTAAAGTGAAATCCTGAATGGTTGAAAGCCTGATGTTTAGGAGATGACTGAAGCTGATATGAAAGCAGGTTGGCCCGCCTTCAGCCCTGATGTAGTGTCGGTATCATGTGTTGCATCAGTACGTGACCGTTGAAAAAAAAACCTGTGACAAGTGATGGGGCCTTGGAGGAGCCACATGACAAGAGGAAAAAACATTTTGACAACTTTGAATGACCCTCCCTCTTCCAGCATAGACATGAAACCCCTATAACTTTATGATTCCTATAAATGCATGCTAGGCTGAGGATTTCACAAAGATTTGCTTTTTTGTTTGTTTTACACTGTTAATTATGCCTCTCATGCAAGTTCGTTTTGACAGTTTTTATATAGGCCCACTGAGCGAAGGTTATATTTCCTATCACCCTGCACTTTAAAAAATGCTAGTACCTTCGCTGTCTTTGAATACACCTGGCAGACAGCAAAAGCTGACTTCTTGGTATCCAGGAAATAAATAACAATAAAATTGAAAAAGAATATACATTTTTCAAAAGTAGCTTCTTAATGTCAGTAATTTTGGTTCTTTAGAACCTGAAATAAGGGGTCGTTCATAGAGTAGTGGTGTAAGTCTCCTGAGTTAAAATTACAGAAGTAGGGCATCTGGCATAGAAAGTTTGTGAGATTAAATGTGTAATTTAGTCTGACCCCAATGAATGAGACATCGGAAGATTGTTTTTTTAAACCATGTCTGTGCCTATTGGCCAACGCTATGACCAATGAGCGCAACTGACTGTGACGTAGTAAAAGCGACAGAAAGCAGGTGGAAGAGTGTAAACAAACAGCCTGATGGTAAAACCGTGAATACGTCCTTCTTAAAAATGAATGAGGCTAGAGCCTCTGCTCATGTTTCAACGAAAACCCCAAATCTAATCCTTCCAAAACTGATTCCAAAGCTGAGTCAAAAATCTCCAGCAGTCATTCACACACCCTGCGGTTAGCCCTGGCTGCTGTTAGCCTCGGAGGTCCGCTGGTTGCCGCGGTCCTCTCAGCTTAGGAAATTGTTTTTT